AAAAATCTTAAAAGGTTACTCAAGCTTTCTGTGTTCTTTCTTTTTTTCGTAGGAAACGTTATATCATTATCCATACTCCGAAGTCATATCCACTCGTAAAGTCAAATCTGAAGAGGGAACACTGTACTTAGACATGAAGTGTGGTAATTTGATGCAGCAACGCATCACAAGACTCCAAACCGAACAAGCGCATGAAATTTCTCGACTGATTCGCCAATACATCACAATGGAACAGAGGACAACAAACAATCAAGCGAGCAGCATGGCATACGGGCTGAGATGAGCAAAAATTCATCTCCATCTTCTTCTTTTTAACTGAAATTCAAATAACAAATGCTCAAGTGACCAAACAAACCCAGCTGATCTGCATATATTGATAAGCATGGTTAATGACGGTCCACTCTTGGAATTACTATATTCCTACAACTGTCCTCTTTTTTGTACGTTTATATAACTCAAAGCTTTAAAGTTTATTCTTTTACACTGATTACTTAATTTCTGTTGGAATTATAATTTCGATGTTTTTTTACTTAAAGAATGAAAAAAGAAAGTTGTTGTGAAAATGTTTATCTCATTTTCTTTTAATACAAATAATTTTTCAAAATATTCATTGTTTGTTCATTTGCTTGTTTTTTTATTTATCCAAAAATTATTTTAAGCGATGTTATGAGGATTCATTTACTAAGTGCACAAAATGTACTGACTATCCACTTGATATATTACTCCCATAGAAACTTGGGCTAATACTAATCACAAGATTTAAAAATAGGTTTAAAAAAGATCGTTTGAATTTTAAGGCATATAAATGCATTATATATTTTTACAATGTATCAAAAGTTAATAAGTGTAAATTTCAATACTCAATAAAAAAAATAGTCAAATTGTACGTAAATCGTGTTACCTCTAGTTTTGGTAATTAAATGTAAGGGTTAGTTATTTCTTTCACGTTCTGGACTCGATCTTGAAATTTTGGCTTTCATTTCTCGAGGCCAATTGTTGGCAGTGTGTCGAACGTATCCTGGATCTGTTGGAGAAGATGGAACATTTCCAGTTTGTGTACCAGTTGTAGATTTTCTCAGGACACCAACCCATTCCTCCAGGGCTTCTATCTCATCTCTGTGGCCGTCTGTACCTAGAGCTCGTGAGATGTAGGCGCGATCTCGATGTTTCAGAATTCCCGAAGCTATACGAGTTGGTACGTTGTCATATTGACTCGAATCCGAGTATCTAATTTATCAATATAAATACAAAAAATGATCAATTCCAGCTCAAAATATATAATAATAAACTCAAAAATCTATTCACCTCCCATGTTTATTATTGAAGTTGTCATCCACGTTTCTTTCAATCTTCATAATTTTTACACTGGGATTGATAATTTTTGGAAATGCAGGTTCGTACTTATCACCAATAATTGGAAATTTCGGGGTATCAATTTCATCAGGTGGTCGCATAATGAGTTCCTGACCTTTATATAAACGCCTCTCATTATTTATTTCATGCTGATAAGAATCTCTCAATTCTCCATCCGAATCTCTATATCGATTCAGATTTTCAGATTGTTGTCTGTCATTTCGAGCTTCTCTAATTTGCCTTTCCGCATCAATGAATTTAATATCTCCATCGTAACGAATATATTGAGATGCCACATCGACATCAGAAGTTGCCGGCCGATGTGCAGTCTCCGGAGATTGGCTCTCATCCTGACGATTTTTACTGAATTGTTTATCAAAACCTTCATTAACACTGCCACTCTGTCCATTCTCGTGTAGACTCTGAATACTTCCATCTTTCTTCGGTACTTTGGTCTCGTTCTCCACCGATAATGTTGTAGGCTTAACTACATTTCCATAAATTTCGTAATATTTTTCTCTTTTCCTTATTCATTCCTTATTTACGAGAATACGTGAAAGATTTTGTAATGCGAACGAGACATGAATCCATTCAATACCAGAATGGGAAAAATGTTAATTTACATTTGCACAAATAAATCGAGTAATACTAATATTTAATTTGTGGTTTGAATAGATGCAGTAAAGATATAGGCAGGAGTGACATGTGTAGAAGAATTTATTACTACGGAAGCTTTTATATTATTCTACGTCTGTGAAGAGAAAAATACATAATATCCCTCAAAATCTCAAAACTTGCCTGGATCCTTGTAAGTTGGGTCATCGTGTTGTGTCTTCTTCTTCTCTCTCTGTTCCGGCGTAGTCATAAGTAAATCAGCTATGAATACTAGCGCAGTAACGAGACATAAAGCACCAAGTACAGCAGCATTATCTACTAAATCAGGTGGAACACTTTCAATTGATGCCAGCGAAAGCGCTCCAACGACACCAAAAAGAATAATTCCCAGTCCAAGGAGAAAAAGTTCCTTAACAAAACATTGACATAATTTTTATTGTCACCCTTGAAATTATTTTTGAGATTCAATAGAAAAACGGGAAATCATTGTTACGTGCAACATACATTGCTGAAGTAAAAGACCAACAAAGACATAATGTGATATAATTAATATTTTTACGAGTCGTGAAATGGTGATATTGTTTGAAAAAAATTTTAATTTACTTGTCATCTTTGTAGGACACATGCCCTACCCAGTTCTAGTGAGAGAATTAAAAAAGAGATGACGAATCATTTTGAAAGATCAATGAGACGTGATAAAACCTTGTAACTTATTCGGTTGAATGAACCAAATTGTGGTGTAGAGAATAGAGCATTTATCAACAAATTTATATTCCCCTGTGAAGCAAGTTAATAGACAGACAATAAAAGAAGGAAAAATGAGTGGCTGAGATTTCATTACTCTCATCTAATAATAAAATTGGGTTTGGTTAAACATGACTCATTGAAAAGAGGTGAGCAAGATATTACGTGTAACTACGGGATGTAGTTTTCTCGCATGCACACCTTCACATATTTCTTCCCATTAAAAATATCATTCCCACTTTTTTATTGCCTTGATTGTCAATGTCACTCGGCGTTTCTCACGCTCTAGCACTAATGATCAACTCAAATTTTTTCTTCCTCCCCAAGATGGCAAATAATTTAATGACTCCTAGCACCGAAAAAATATTGAAAAAATTCCCCCAATTTTGAAATTTATTTATTGTTATGTACCGTTTTTTTTCCCTGAAGTTCGCCGGTGGCAGCAGCACATAATAGACCCATTGTGATTATCACGTAACCACCGCACGTTACCGTCGCCAGAGCTGCACCTGTAATAGTCAAGAAACACCAGGTCGAGGACGTTAAAAATGTCATTTATTTATTATCCAAGCTTGAAATTCAATTTTCATATGAAATTACCTACGCTACCCCACGTTACATTGTTCAAAAGTGACCATTCTCTACTATAATTTCGAAGATAGTGAAATACGCGTCTGCTCTCGTCATCTGTCACACGAAGTGCCACTACAGAAGCGATGCAAAGGAGCTAAAAATTCAATTCAATTCATTTTTCATAATGTTTCCAATCCACTCCGGTATTACTTACCACACTGATTATTCTGATAAACACTTTTCGATTAAACATGATAGCACGTCTTTTCCCATCAACTCTCGGCACTAGTAAAGCCTTCAATCGAGCCGCACTTGTTAATTTCGGAATTCTCAATTTTTTCCAACACGCGTGTGATCCTGAAATTCAATGGAACATTTTCTTGAGTTTGAAAATGTCCACAGACAATTTGCATCGACGAAAGACGGGCGCAGACTGCTGGTAAGTGAATCATACAGGTACTTGCGAGGCGCGTCCTAGAGAAGATGTTGTAGGAGAAGGAATTGTTTTTTCTCGACGAATAGACAGCAAGTCTATTCCTCTACTGATGGGGTTTACTATTGTCGCGTAGATTGCCGCATACGCAAGTCGCCTTTTCAGGGACCAAAAGCGGTGTCACGTAATGAGTACTGCACGTATATGTACTTATTAAGACATTACCATAGGTGAGAGGGCGGATTTATCCTAAGATTACTTAAATAAAATTTCCCCTTATCATTTTAAATTTCACAATAAATTCACTACCAACAACGAAGTCAATTCGTCATTCGGACTTCTCAATAAATTTCTTGGAATTATTAAATATGAAAATAATGTGTCACGCAGTGTCATTTTCTGTCATTTTCTCCGAACGACATTCCCTAGGTGGTCTTCACCAATAATTTCGTAGGACTGAACAACTTCTACTGGAATAAACAACAAATTACGCTTCTAGTTAATAATTGAAATGAGTACTATTAATGGGTTTGGACCACCCCATCTTTCTATTATTGCTTAAGATGATATCTCTCTCATACTCTCTTATTTTTATGTGAATTTATGTTGAAAGCGAGTTCAGTTTGAATTCTCGGTAGAGTTTGAATGGCAACAAAGGACGACTATTTTACAGGCCTTTTTTCCTAAAAGATTGATATTCGGGGAATTGTGCCAAGCCGAGAATCTTCGGAAACAATCCCCACCCTTGGAAACATCGTAAAAATTTTTATTGGTAGATTGTAGAACTCAGTTGGGATCTATTGGTTGTTGAGAATACACCGTGATCAGAGCATGTGAAATAGTATCAGTTCTCGTTTCGATTTCGCAAACATCAGTCGTTTATTGCATGGTGGCAATTGTCTTTCATTTTTCCGGAATATATTGTGTGGATCGTCGAATTATTAAATAATTAAACTCATAATAAATTAAACCCGTAAAACTTTTCCATAACTTCACGCAAGAATCAAAATTAAAAAATGAATATCTCATCCTCGATTTACCACCCTCCAGGTACGAAATTTTCGTGTTCATTCAATTGTTACGTTTTTTTTTTATTGAGATTGACGGATTCGATTAATATTTTTAATAGTGGACATGCCACGGACTAGACTGAGGAGAATTTCTCATCAATCAGCAGAACATGTTCAAACTAGTGTTGATGCACAAGTGGAGACAACAAAAAAAGTTCTCCAATTAGTCGAGGACTCGGGCTTATTGATAACTCAAAGAAATGGTCAGAGAAAATTAGGACCACCTCCGAATTGGAATGGACCAACACCCGACGCGAAGTGCGAAGTTTTCGTTGGGAAACTGCCACGTGATCTCTGCGAATATGAAATCTACCCAATTTTTCGAAGTATCGGTGAAATTTATGAAATTCGCTTGATGATGGATTTTTCTGGAACAAACAGGGGCTATTGTTTTGTGATGTACACGAATCCCAGAGATGCATGCAGAGCAATTGACGAGCTCAACGGCTTTGAGATACAAAGTGGAAAAAAAATTGGCGTTGTTGCTAGTATTAACAATTGCCGCCTGTGTGTTACTCATTTACCAACAGCTTTAAACACTAAAGCATTCATCAAGGTATAATTTCAATACTGAATTAATGAATTAATATTCTTTAGAACTGGCCAATAGGTAATTTTATTGTGTTGGTTCACCGATTTCTGGTGAATTGCGTATTTTTCAAATGATTGCAGAAAATTTTTGACACAACAAGTGGAGTTGAGAAAGTGGCAGTTCATCGACTTGCAGATAATCGTCCTAAAAATGCTCTAATTTTTTACAAAACCCACATTGAGGCTGCTATGGCACGACGCAGACTGGTACCAGAGAGATTCAATTTCATTGACGGCGCACAAATCACTATCGACTGGGCACATCCAAATCTTTTTCCCGAAAATGTTGTAAGTTAACGCATTTACTTTACCTCGACAACAATAATTATCAGTGGATTTCATTGTTTGCGGTGATCAAGTTAAAATACCCTTTGAGAGTCTACATGAGAGAATTTACGTGACCATGAGAACGAAAACAATAACTTTTTCTATTCTTATTATCTCACGGCAAATGAGAACGTGGGGATCTTTTCTTTCATAGGATTTTTCTTTCAATTCACTCGTGATTTTAGTCATTTTACCTTTCCCGATATCATCCGACTAGGATCAACAATAATAAAAAATACTCGCCGAGCCCGCGAATGCAATTGATATAAAGTTGAAAATTTTTGAATATTCTTGAATTTCCTCTACCTTTCATCCTTCAATTCTTCGTTACACCAAGTTAAATTTTCAACTGGATGAAAATTATTCTTTCTTGTTAGAACTAAGCCCTCGGGTTTCTTATCTTCCCCTCCATGAATTTCTTGAATTATCACTTCCTTCACAACTGGTTTGCCAAGTGTGCCTATTTCAGAATTTCACAATTAATAAATAAAATGGCAATGCAAAATGGTTTGATGAAAAAAATATTGACCGGCCAGGACGTATTCATGAGCATATAGAAAATTGAAAGATAATCAATTATTTCAAGAATGAAAAAAATCAGATCGTTTTGCTAATTGCTTTTTACGGACAACGCCATCTGTGTGATTGCTGGAGAACTAAATTCAGATTGAGTTGAATAAGTAAATGGAAGTAAAAAAAATTTAGCCTTTGGCAAACCACGAAACCGTTTTCTCACACCATAATTGTCGTGTTGATTACCGAAGATTTTACTTGAACGAGGATTCCATCTTTCTCCTCGTGAAAAAAAATTAACTCTAACGCGTATTCCTGTTTTTTAAAAAAATTTCCTGTAAGGCCATTCTACGCACGATATGGTAAATGAAAAATTAATAAAAATCGCAGGGAAAAAATAAAATCGCGGAAAAATAATGAGAAATTTTAGTCATCCGAGAAGAGCGAAAATGTTTTGACGGTTTAAAAAAATTGAAGTTTTTCCAAATACGATTTTTATGGCAGACTAATGTCTTGCGGCCATTTTTTTCTTTTATACCGAAATTGACTAGCTTAAGCGAAATTGAGTTTTGAGTTCTCGTACCAGTATTATCTACTCTGTACTGGTGGACTCTGCTATTCTCTTGTTTTTGCTGCTGGGCTCTGGTCTGCTCTTTTCTCGTCTGCTGGGCTCTGGTCTGCTCTTTTCTCGTCTGCTGGGCTTTGGAAACCAGGGCTCTAAAGAGCCGGTTGCGAATTGAGTAATCCAGGGCTCTGAAAAGAGCCGATTGAGTTTTGTTCAATCCAAGGTCCAAAGAACCGATTGGATTATGAGAATTCCAGGGCTCTGAAAAGAGCCGATTGAAAAATCAACAGCGATATTGAGAATTCATCCGTAGCTGACAAAGCCAGTCTTTCGAACGAAAGACGATCGTCGAGCGTCTGCGATGTGCCAGCCGCGCCGTACGCCGGAACCTCCACAGCAATTCTCTCGAGGAGACCACCGCTTTGCTGGATACTCCCATCAGGACACTGCAGATATAGACAGCGCCACTCTGCATTCCCTCTGCTCCTTCTCTGGATCGCCTCGTTCACTGCTTGGCCGCTTTACTCCTATGCCACTGCTGGGCTGCTGGATTCCGATGTCACTGCTGCTGGCTGGAGCTCTTCACTGGATGAAATTCAGGAACGAAATGCACCCCTCTGGGCGAGATGCACTATTCTTATACACAGTTGCGTCGCTGCAATTGGCGGAAATTTCGTAGTGGGAGTTTAAAACTGAAACCTGCGTACAACATACTGCGCATAATTTTAATCTTGAAATTGAAGTGAGAAATTTGGAAATTGAAGTAGTCGAATACCGCCCGGCGAGGGGCCCTCTCCAGGGTTCGCGCGAGTTGATACCACTGGACGAATCTTTGGAGAAATCTCATTTACGCGGTTAGAGTTGCAACGGTTACATTGAGGAGACGAGCAGCGCAGAGGCCAGCAGCGCAGATGCAAAGTCTAGTCGAGCAGATGCAGACCAGAGTACAGCGGATCAGATGGAGAGCAGACACAGACCAGAGCACAGCGGATCAGATGGAGAGCAAACGTAGACCAGAGCACAACGGATTGTAGCGGCGCAGACGCAGAACACAAAGCCGGGAGAGCTTACTCAATAATTAAATAAATTCAATTCGCTATTTTAATTTCATTATCCATATCGTATAAGCTCTCCATGGCCTACGCGAGTTGATATCCCTAAACGAATCCGTTTAAATCAACGTTATTAATTAATATGTGGGATTGGTGAAACGATCTGAAGAAATCCTTGGAAATGCCACCAGCGCTCGTGTCGTGCGGTAGCCTTCATACACATGTTTACTCTCACAGTCGAGCAGTTAATCTCGTCGAGTTTGCATTTCGGTATATTGTCGGTAGCAGTGACCGGTGAAGTTTGATTAAAAAAAATTGAAATCTAATATAGAAAATGTCCAAAGTGAGTGAGTTTTGTGATTATCGTAGCCCTCTGGCTACTCGTTATGCATCGAAAGAGATGCGTTTCAATTTTAGTGATCAAAATAAATTCAGCACGTGGCGTCGACTGTGGATTTTCCTCGCACAGGCTGAAATGGTTCGTAATTTATTACCCTTTTTTTTATGGCCTCCAAAAAAATTGAAAACATTTACAAGTGCAATAATTGATCGGACCATTAAATTTTATATCGAATAAATATTTGAAAATGACAACAAAAACGGAATTGTTGTACATTCAACAAATGGATAAAATTAAATCAGATGGGTAAATTACTCATGCATAATTCTCATGGAACGGTACAAGTGAATTTATTCTGGGGGTTATCTATTCTCTCTAGGTTATCACTGAGATATTGCTTATGAGTTGAGAACATTGCAGGTTATGAAAATAACAAAATCCCCCTAACATTTGATGATTAATTTCGTCAATTAATAGATGGCGAATAAATGACATCGCAAACGCGAAATCCACTGGTACACGTCGCATATTAGAAATAGATTCTCTAAATTTCGTGTTTTTTTTTTAATAAAGGTTGAAGAATGTGGTACATTAGACGAGAACGGAACCGTGAAAGTTGAAAAAAGATTTATTGATATTGGAAAGAAGAGTTCCACGAAAGATAAAAAATTTGTTGAAGGAAAAGTTCATCGTTCTAATATCAAAGACGAAGAATTAATTTACCCAAGGCTAGAATTGGCCTCGAGGATGAATGAGAATAAGCAGAAAATAAATGCACTGAAGAAATGTTCTCATTTATGTACATTCGACAAGCAAAATAAGCAAGAGCCGCAGCTCTCAGCGTTTGATAATAATTTCGGTGACTTGAATCAAAGAATAATGCACAATTATTCAGCTATTATTCAACCGAGTCTTAATCAACAATTTGGGCAGATTATTGACATACGAGATATCAATGGAAATAGTCACATATGCCTCAACAGATTTGTAGCACTCTCAGGAAACATACATCAATCAGCTGAAGTAGCTCGGATGCCTTCGATCTTGAATATCGATCAGGCGAATGAAACTCACCTGTCATTGATTTTAAATAATGTTCCTAACTTGCCCGCTAATTTCAATCAATTTTCTCAGAATGTACAGATCAACCTAGTCGGATGCAACTCCGGTAATGAGACATTTGAGAATAATCCTATGCGATTTATTATGCAAAATATTCATCACAATATTCAGCCATTTCAAAATAATAATACGCTGACAAAACCTAGGCCCATTCTCAGTAGATATCCTTGAGGAATTATGGTTTTCTTTTCAGAGCATTTTTATTATCCATTTTTCATTCTAATCAAGCAATCATTCCGGACAATTTTTATTCGATGAATGTAACATAACATGAGTGTATTCAGTTTTACAAATAATTGCGTAACAATAATAAAATTATTGTAATGAGAGTTTTTCGAATTTTAAGGGTAGATTCCATTATGCGTGAACAACAAAATAGATTTATTAGGATAAATAGCAAATATTGAGGGTTCCATCGTTTCGCTTGGTTGAACATTTTTTTTTTCTACCCAGATATCCAAAATTTTCTGGATCATAATGGGGCAGATCGTTTCTCTGACATGCACTAGGCAAGCATAATCGCTATTTCCAATTATAAAGAATATTAAAACAGAGTATTTAAGATTATTCTTTTTGCGATATGCGTATAAAATTATCAACTCACTCTGTGAAAACAAGAGCCATGACAACCCCATCCGCAAGTTACTGGAACCTTCATTTCACGTGTAGAAATTCCCAACCTGAAGGCAACACGACTCGATAAATCAGTAATGAAAATAGTCTGTTTGATTTTCACAATTTTGAATACAACTTTTTTATAACAAACGAACAATTAAAAATCAAAGATAATCACTGTAAAAAATAGAAAACTTCGCTTACTCAATTTTTTTTCGTTGACACTGTCGTTGGAGGTCTCGTATGTATCCATCACAAGACCTCATAGTTACATTTTCTTCCAAATTTAATCCTTGATTTGGGGTGGGGAGAGATGGATGAAGAGCACGATGTTCATGAAAATTCCTAGAAAAATACACAACCAATATCCCAGGGTTCTCCAAACGATTACGAAATTGGATCATTAATCGTACGTTTGCTGAGTTTCATTGGTCTCATTGAGACTTTCCATCACGATAGATAGCTCACTAGGAATGGTTCTATCAACAATTGAGTTTTCTTGTATATCATTATTTGAAGAGATTCTGCCACGTGCCATTTGATTCTCAATATTCCTATTCCGGTTTGATAAATTTGTGAGGCGCCCCATATCGCCAGTACCAGAAGATTCTCTGAATGTAGGGATATTCTCCTCACTTGGTTTTGCCACTGATAAAGGTTTTGATGAATACGAAGTCGTCAACTGGTATTCGCCTGATACAGATTGTAAAGCATCGGGAGTGCTACTTTTATAAACAATTGTCTCTGTGGAAATTTTATTGTTCATGGGTCCCTCGTTCCTCTGCAATGAAAGATCTGCCTCTTCTATACGTTCTATTATTTTTCTGTGTCCATTAGATGAATATTCATAAGTCGTTGAGTTTATTGTTTTGTTCCTAGTTTCCATATTACTAGTGTGAGGTGAATCAATGGATTCATAATTCCTTGGCAATTGTAACAGAGGAGAATTGCTCGTCAGATTTCTATTTGATTTCTTAATAACTCTTGAATCCTCTCCATGAGCATCTGCTGATTGTCGGGATTTTTCAGTCTCCGTGCCTTCGGACTTGTCAGTTGACAGACTTTCACGATATAGAGGTTTAGCTCGTTTGGCAATTTTAGTAGCAACGGTGTTTGGTGATAAGTTAGAATCTTCACGAGTGAATGTTGCTTCTGCAGTCTCTCGGGCTGACTTCTCGCTGAATTTTCTTTCAATTTCTTCACTAACTTTCGTTTTTAACATTGTAAATAATTTGTCGTAGACCTGGGAGGCGCCTTCTTCTAAAGCCGGCCACGATTTCTTGGATTTATTTGTAATCAAATTTGGGGAAGTGCCTGCTGATGATGTTGCACTTTCATCAGTCGGGATCATTGATAAATTTTTGCTTTTTGTTTTTCTTGTTTTATTCAAATCAAAGCTTTGATCGTCTGGTTTTCTATTCTTAAAATCAATAGCTTCACCAGACTTGGATGAATATTTCTGGCTTCCAAATTTTCTTGTTTTCAATTGAGACTGATTATCTCTCATACCCACTATTTCAGATGGACTCGTGGAAATTTCCGAGGATAAATCGTCTTTTTTAAAACTCTGTTGTCTCGCATCAAATATTGCCATAGATCTGTGAATCTTCCTCCCATTAGAATTTTCAATATCTGAGAATTACGGAGAACATGTTTAGTTCTTTATGAACAATATTTTCATTGCTGTTTATGAGTGATTAATTTTATTATTGGTAGATGTATTTTGTGGCTAGAAGTACCTGAGCTGATTGTTCCAGAACTATCATTTTCATTGGTTCTGCGAAAACTTTGTTCACTTTTTGACATTGTTCTATAATTATGAAAAAATATAAAATAAGTTAGGCATCATGATTTAAGATGGGGCATTTACAAAAAATATATATTTTCCTTTTATCATCCTGTTTACTGGTCCCTTTTCGAATCTCTGGTCGTAATTTTTTGACTGATGATACACTTTTTTTAATAACATCATTTGAATGCTCAAGTGCTTCTCCAAGACTATGCGCAGGACCTTGAGATGCATGAGATAATTTTTATTATTTGTATTTTCCCCATTTTTTAATATCTTCCACCTTGGCATTCTCTCCGGAATGAGAATTAGTCTTTAAAAATGTAATTGATAATGCAACGTGTAAAGACAAAAAATTTCATTGATATGACTTGAAATATCAGGTGAATAAAAATTATGAAATTAATTGTCTACTTCTAGATCAATGAAAACCTAAGTTAACTATGACGATTGTTTTTATTCATTTGTCGTTGTACGCTCGAACCCTTTTCGTCAGGCCTTTGATCACCAGAAGTTCTATCGATGTCAGAATCTAGAATTATTGCTGTAGTCCGCGGTAAAGCAGCAGAATTTTGATGTCGTTCATAGATTTTATCTTGCGTTCGACTCGGATGATGTAGTTGTGGATTTTGATCCGGATGGTCACTACAATTACATCTGATACGAAGAAAATAATTATTGAAAAATGTTTACCAATTTTCATCTGATTATTTCATCCTCAAGAAAAATTCAACTCACGATCCACAACAAGACCCACTTAATGCCCCTCGAACAATTACAACAGGAGGACAGACTCCTGAACATGGCATTTGATATTGTGGGCATAATATCGCGGGTTGAGGTACTTGAGGAGGCAGGCAATGACCAGAAGTCAAAAACGGTTGTGAAATCAAATGGGATTCACGGTCAGGTGTTACTAGTGATTGACCTGGGAATATTGATTACGATTGATAGGATTCTCAATGAAAATAATGACATTAGGTTGTTATTTTCTTTCAGCTCACATGGACTTGACGTTTGCATAATTTTCTCTTTCGTTTCGGCCCTTATTGTCTGAAATAAATATTAATGTTAATATTGGGAGATGAAAAAAATTAGAATGAAGAAGTACTTGTGCTTCTCCAGAACTTGTCATTCCGTTGTCAGTTTGAACCTGACCAACTGTCTGAATTGAAAGTGCTGGCACACTGCAAGGTGAATCAACATACTGACGTCTTCGGGCGAAACTAATTTTTCTTGTTTCATGTTGCCCAGATGTATCCATACTCGGATCTACCAAGCCTTGTCCACTTACACTTGTTGTTATTTCACATTTGCAAATCTATTCAAAAAACAAGAATAGATAAAGAGTAAAATCTCTAAAAAAAATAAAATGAGTAGTAAAAAAGTGGGAGGACTACATTGACATCTGAGGAGGGAAAGTCGCAAGCTTTTGTGAATAATGTTCTGGTTATTGGTTCAACCGATGTTGCCTCGATCGTTAATGGATGGCATTTTTTCCATGACGAGTATTTTTTCTTCCAGTACCTTAGGAATATAAAAAATTTTATTGCGCATTTCTCGGAGACAATTTAATTTTCGAAAATACTTACAGAAGAACTGCTATCACTTCCATCGCGTACAAAATACTGATGACGAAGCATAATATCATGGTCATTAAAATAGCCCAAAATGCCATAAGCGATGTGACATAATAAATTAGGGAAATGCCGGCGATAGCAAAAAGAATCATTCCTGTCAAGCTGAAAATGTACATCTAAAAAGCAATGAAGCACAAGTATTATTTCAACATTGGCATCCAATATTCCGGTGATTACTTTATTACCGGTGACTCGGGAACACTATCTCCAAAAAATTGATTCATTATATCCAATGCTTGAAAAAATAGGTGAGAGCTAGTCAGGCAGATTAGTAAAATGCATGCTACATCTGTCAAATATCTCACTGACATAGCTGTCAAGTAGACAGTCAATGAAAATACCACTAGCGTTGTCAGCTATAACAGATTTTAATGGGTGAAAAATTCCCGAGGGATTTCCAACTCGTTTTATTCTTTTTTTCCATTACAAATATAATAATAATTTACTTACAAATTGGATCAATCGTAAAAATCGCGGTAAAGCCGCAAGACCGGGATCTGAGTCGCATCTTGGTGATTTAATTTTTATTTCGGAAATTTCTTCCTCCAATGCTCCATTCCCCAGGCTTTTTTTTTTCTCTGAAAAATTTTATGGACGGGTCGTCATATTTTAAAAGTCCTGTTATGATTTTATAGTCATTGGATGTTCACCTTTCGATCTTATCATATTTAATATATTCTAATAGTTATGCATTAAATAATGAAATAGGTATTACAGTAGTCTGATAGGTACTAAATTATTTATCTGATAAACTGAAAAGTAATTCAATGTAATAAGTATTGGCATGATGTTTTGACAGACTGCAGTTCAATTGTTCGTTCGCCACTTCAGAGCCCACAATTGAATTAGCTTCAATTATGCATGTCATATATTGATCGATCCAATTTCAATTCACCATATATTTCCCTATTAAATTACTGGAACGAAAATTATTTTACGGCCGCTTGGCCTTAAATAAAATAAATTCATCATTTTTTGTTGACACTTGCAAAATTTATTTTCCGATGTCTACACCAATTCGTGATGAATACAAACAATATATAAATGCAATGAAATAATAAAATTAAATCTATGGCAATCATGCTCCTCAAATTATAACGCACATCAAATTCATCGTTGCAGACAATATTTCTATGGACGGACTAATGGCGGGCTAGTATATTAATCAACAGATAAATAAAAAAATCTTGAAACTAGGAATAATAGAGAGTTAAATGAGTGTTCGCTGAAATTGAGTGTAAATACTCTAATTATAATAGATTAGGATACCCAAATAAATATTCTGGCTAGACCAATGGAAGATCATTAATTAAAAATTATTGGACGGATTTGACATTAAGATCAAGTTATTTAAAACTTTGGATTACAGCATTATGCATTTGAACTTGAAAAACACTATAATTTTTGGCTAAAATCGATCTTCATTTTTCATGTATTAATATTGGCTTTAGCGCTGAAAATCAATCATAATATAATTAAATCGACGAGTTACCTTATTTTTCCGCCATTTCAATCCTTAGAAAGGCGGTCCATAAAATAGCAGAAAATATCTTGTAACTCCTCAATTTTTCTATTATCCCGTCGTAAAGCTCCCATTTGAATCATCATTTCCTTCAACTTTTGACAGGATCACAGAAAAATTACAGAGATGTCCGATTTTTTCCGCCATTTAGATTACTACGTGAATCTCATTGTAATAAAAACATCAACTCCAAATACTACGGCATTGACAAAAGTAAATACAGATGCAGATATTAACATGTCATTGTACTGTTTACTGGAATGAACTGCGTTATTCATCCCGTAGTCAATATAACTGTTGGTCATCCGTTTCCACCTGCGTATCATGACACTTGCTGCTGCAATGTGAAGACATGCACCCACGCTGGAAAATATTAGGGACTGAAAGAAAAAAATGCCTCAAATAAATTCACCCCCTAATATTCCGTGAGATTCAATAAATAAATATAAATATTGAAATGGTCCTGGGGATAAACCCATTTCGAATTACGAATTGTTTGCGACCGTTGCTTTTTGGCAATAATTTGAATTCATAAAAGTGGATGAAAAAATTTTGTTATCTCAGTTGGTACGTTGTACTAAGGCCTTGCTGGGACAACTAATTATCTTTTCGCTCCGCTGCTAGTGAGAGTCGGTGACTCACACAGCTGTGTAAATCAACACAGTCATACTTTGGGCGTAGTCTGATGCCGCAATTTAACTATTACTTTTTGTGAATTACACCGCTTATTGATGACACTTCCATATCAGCTCGTATGAATGTAACAATTCATCTGAATAATGGAATCCGTTCCTTCAATTTTTCAATCGATGTAATTTCAAGTTTATCATTGACTCATAAGCACGTCCGTGAATTGAATTTTAAATCAAGTAGCGGGATGAAAATTATTTTTTCTTTACCGTTCTCTTTGGGATTCTATCGCCGAGGAAATATCCAATGATGAAAATCACATTGATGATCAGGTATCCACAAACGGTAGTATAAACAAATCCCGCATCGTCGAGTTTTTTCTCAGCCGGATTAAGTATTTTCAGTTGAGAATTGAAAGGATCAACAATAAGTCCAATTATTAAAACCTCCAAAAGCTAAAACACCAGAAATTTTCATGAAAAAAAAAATGCACCAAAGAAACCGTAAAATGGTGAATTACAATCGTGTTTGTACTAACGACTTCAGCGATTTTAATGACCAGAGGGAGTGCATGACTCTGTTGACGTTCCTTAATGACAGGCGTGGGTGGTAAAGATTCTTCAGCCATCCTGACCCTTTTTGGTCTTCCTCTACCGTCTCCCAGCTTGGCAGATTATTTAATGACGATTGAATTAACAATATCGACTTGGAAATCAAGTCGAAACTCTGGTACCTACAATAATCAAAAATGAAGCTCTAAAACGAATTTTTATATGATTGTCTCACCTTAACGCTGTGATTCACTTAGAAGCTCCGTGTAAAATTGATGAAATTATTTGAATTAAAAAAGAAGGGAAAATTTCGTTGTAAGACTAGTAAGCACTTAACCGTGTCGTACTGCAAGTTAAACTAGAACGTCGAGCGTGACATCGACACTGCGTCTCGACATCAACAACGACGGGTTGCATAAGTGGGGAGTTGTACGGTACCTATACTTTTAAAAGGCCGGTTTTCATCCCCACCACATCACCAGGTTTGTAATAAACCTACTACACCGTGTTCTACAATGCGCGTACGCAACGTAGTAGGTCGAAAATTCTCCAAGACCCGAGGAATGAATCATTTCTATAGTAAACACACTGTAACCCAGATGCGCTCCAGAAATTATTCATACATTGGTAAATGTTTCAAAGCAGCTATATAGTCTCGGGCCATTCGATGAGATCAAATGCTAATGGATAATGCAGGTGGAAAAGTTGCACTGAGTTATCTGGAGGTAATTTGAGGAACCGGGAATTTTTGAATTGTGAAAGTGCTGAATGCATTAGTCACCATTGCTATGTATTGATCCAACCTAGAAAGCAATGGGAGAGTCTTGTTTAACTCGAATCTAGCGAAGGAAGTTGAATTATAGGGAGAAGAGTTATTCATTTTTATCATTGAATTTTTAAAATTTTTATAGGAGTAATAGAAAGTTGGGGAAGCAATCGGAATTCGTGTGGAACAGGTGTTGTTTGTCCAACCCACCCTCATATATTGATTTTAATTATTATCTATAGGGCGGAACATATGGAAGGGAATAATGAAATTAACCACAAGTTGCATTATTTCATTTTATTTCAAAGACGTACAAAGTTTCGATGATTGACCAGTAAAATGTCGTTTACATATTTATATTAATCAAATCGCCGAATAACAAATCAAATATTTTCAATCAATTAGTCGTGATATAATATTTGAGAGCTCACGTGATTTGCGTTGTTCTGGAATTTATGTAATTTCAAATTTTTGAATGTATTTATTGAGTTCTCGAGTTGTGAATTGAATAATTTCAAGTGTCCAGCCAGTTAACGTCATGCAGTAGTCCGAGGTAGATAAATAATACATGATGAAAATTGGTTAATGAACATGACTCAAGTCATGCGGGTGAACTGGATATTATTTCTTCCGAGCTTTGCTTTCCGAGGTCAGCTCCCAATGCTTGATCATCATTTGTCTTATTTTCCTCAATTAATGAGGTAATGAGATCTAGTCTAATTGGACTAAAAGTATTATTCCCGCCTGTTATTACCGGTCATCCAGTTTTGAATAATTGAGACGAGCTGATTACATTAGAGTTCATTTAATCCCCGTGCGTACGATGAGAGCAATTTGTTTAGCTATGTGAAGTTGGCATCGAAGTTTGAAAAATCTAACTTTTTTTTGTTGGTTTGGATTGTACTCATTGAGTACTTGAATGTACCCTGTGCACTTTTTTTTGTACCCTCTTACTTTAGCCCTGAAGCAGGGGGGCAAAATCGTGCAGAATCGGAGTTCAAGAAAAAAAATAAATAACCGTGGCAATCAGTTGTACCTCGATAGTACTGGTATGTACAACTTTTTTTTTT